AATGAACATTTCACAACAATGCTATAATCAATTACAAAAATATCAGTTTTCAGATAATAAGGCAGTCATTTGCACATGAATTTTACAATGTCTAAATATTAAAAAACAGTAGAAAAAAATATCACAATTTTACTAAAAGCAGAAATATCACATTTATTTCTAATAATTTTACAGTATCTAAAATTTTCTAACAATAGACAAGAAAAATAAATAAGTTTATTTCTAATAATTTACAGCATTCAAAATTTATAACATAGATAAAATATCACAATTTTTATTAAAAAGGTTATGTTTCAAAATAATGAGGTCGCGTGCGCATAAAATTTATTGCGCCTAAAATTCATGATAATAAGCATAAATAATCATTTCATTTTATTTTTTAAAAGAACGGATTATTTTTCAAGATAATGAAATCACTTACATACAAAACTTATAAAATACAGATCTTAGATCGAAATATCACTATTTATTAAAAATATACTATTTTTCTGGAAGACGATGTCACTTACACACAAATATTTGAGAGGGAGCTTCCGATAAAAATTCGGCTAGAGAGAGGAGTTCACTGTGTTTCGACCAGAGAAAAAAATCTCATAAGTTTTCTAAGATAGGAGTCTTCACCTCTCTTATTTAAACTCTTACGACACCTTATTATAATATTTTATTAAGTTTGACCTCGTAACCGTTACAATACCCCTTGTATGCTTAAAGCCCACCTCCACTTGACGTGGCAAGGCACGAGCAAACAAAAGAAACTTAACCAAAAGATTTTTAAAATAGTGATAGTCCTTAAGGACCATCATGCTCATATAGACCATCACTTATTAAAAGTTTTTTCTTTTCTTTTCTTTTTTATTTTTTTATTTTTTTTTATTTTTTATTTTTTATTTTTTATTTTTTATTGAAATTTTAGAATTGTTACAATACCATACCAAAAGATATATTCAATTGTAAAGAGAGAAAGAAACCGAATTTGATGGATTCATCTACACAACGGCTTTTGTTAGATAACAATTGTCTATATATATTCAAACTTCAAATAACTTTTATAAAGATATAAACCACGTCTTTCAATGTCCAAAGAGTGAAAACTAATAAAGGGGCCTCCTTTCTCTTAATATATAATAATTGGTAAAGGGAATTAAACAGTAGATCCTCGGGAGCTTGGAAATTATTTTTTTCGGTTCTATCAATTTTTAAACAGTCCTTCAGATTCCACCCAAGGATCGGTAACATGGTTCGCTTTTGGTCCGATCTTTGGTTGGGCCACACACCTCTTAGGATCGGTACCGCTCTTTGTTCTTACTTGCCACAAATCCTGATGCTTGGATATCGGAAGAACTTCCTCTTACCGGCAATAGAAGGGTGTGGAACCCCTCTTTTATACGTCCTCTCTCTAACACTGAACTATTGGAGTTCATTTCTTTCTTGGATGTGCTCCACAACTCATTTCTCTCCCTTTCTGGGTCGGATTAGATCATCTGGACCCCAGATGCATCAAGCTTTTTCTCAATTTCTTCCTTCTACAAATTTCTGCTCTAATCCCCTACCTCTTCCCCCTCGGTGATTTCCAAGGTCTAGTCCTTAATAGCATCGCCAAAAGTGCAAGCCTTCAACTGAATTGCTTCAACTGAATTGCTTGCTCTGAAAGAGCGCTAACGGTGGGCATTCTATGCCTAAGTGAAAAAGAAAATCACCCTCACGTATTCATTCACTGTGACCTAGCCTACAACTTGTGGAGCAGACTTGGCTTGACATGGGTTATGCCAGCCTCCATCTCCGGCTTTTTCTACTTAGCCGACTGCACTTCCTGGCCCAAAATTGGGAAGCTTCTTGGGAAGGCAACTATAGAGGCCACGATCTGGATATTGTGGATGGAAAGAAATGTAAGAATTTTTTGTGGAGTTTATGGCGAAACCCCTGCCTTGTTTCACAAGATCCAAACCCTCGTGACCTTCTAGGCTACCAATCACAAGGCCTTCAACGATCTCCCCATCTCCCAATTCTTCGCGAACTAGCAGCAATTACTCCTACTCCAACACACTCGTCCCACTGGCCATGGGGCTGGTCACCTCCTCCACCTGATTCTATTAGGCTCAACTTTGACAGCTATTCCCGTGGTAACCCTGGTCCCTCGAGGATAGGGGGATTTTTAGAGATCACCAGGGGAATACCCTTGTGTCTTTCTCCAAATACATAGGCTAGGCTGACTCACAGCTTGCGGAATCCATGACGTTGCTTACGGGATCCATGACTCACAGCTTGCGGAATCCATGGTGGAAGGGGATGCGCGCAACATAGTCTCTTGAGCTGCTAGTCTTGCTTCCCCTCCCTAGTACCTTGCTCTGATTTTTGACGAGATATCTTACCTCTACAAGGATATAGCCGTCTCATGGACGCATATTTGAAGGGAATCAAACGGCTTGGCGGACCGACTGGCTAAGGAGGGAGCGATCGCACAAGCCGACGCCACTTCTTAGCCCTGGTGCTCATTTTTACTAGCTACTACTTTTACCTTTGTGTTTGTATCGCTACGACTGTCATTGCCCGTCTTTTTACATTGGCAACACCTCATCCCTGAGGTTTCCTCATTTTTCGACAGAGAGGCCTGGCATATGGGTTCCCCCCCCCCCCTCTCCTGGCCTTTATCAAGAACAAAAAAAAAAAATGGTGTGTGTTGTTGTAGTATATACATCGGTATTTGTTGTAGTAATTAAAACAAAAATGCTAGGTGTGTGTTGTAGTATATACATCGGTAGGTCACCAACCACTCATATGGAAGGGACAAAGCATGGACATAGTTTTTTTTTTAAAAAAAAATGGTAACGTACGACTTATTATTAATTTATACGTAAAATACAAGATGTTCAAGCAATGAAACAATATTACAGAAAATAAGTAACCAATAGAGAGGGACTATGGACTCTTCCTTTAGCAAGAACATCGACATCTTCATTCGCCTCTCTATAACAATGTTGGACCGTTGCCATAGAGGATGACAAAATATGCCAAATTTGATTAAAAACAGTCTTTAATCTCCAAGGGATTTTGACCTTTCTCTTACTCCAGGCAATGACATTTAATGAGTCTCCTTCAATAATCTTGTCCCCTTCCAAATTGCATAGCAATTTCAAACCTTTTAATAAACCTCGTGTTTCCGCCTCATTTGCTGTTGTGATACTACAAGGACCCGAGTAAGAAAAAATAATGTGACCCAAATTATTTCTGATGAGTCCACCATAGCCGGCTGGCCCTGGATTGCCAAGTGAAGTTCCATCAAACTTAAGTTTGAAAAAATTCACTGGTGGTGGTATCCTCACAACCTCACTATGAGTGTTGATGGTAACACCCAAAGTCGTCATTGCCGAAGGATTGCTAATGATAAAACTTTTAGGAATGTAGCCACTATCCTTATGTGAAATGAACCAATCAGCTGCAAGTGCTAAAATATTTGATTTTAATGTAGACAGATCTGCACTTATATTATCAAAGACTATTCTATTTCTTTCCTTCCACACATTCTAAAGAAGGCTAACCCAAATAGATCTCGAAAGGATAGTTCTCATAATTGAAATAACGGGTGTGATCTATTGGTCAAGAAGAGCTCTGACATTTTGAAGCAAAGGTAATGACAAATTGAAGCACTGGCGAGTCCAATCCCAAAGATAAGTAACAAAAGGGCATGAGAGGAAAAGATGCTGCAAAGTTTCATCACTGGCTTTGCACAAAGATACATACATTGGTGATAATAAAACCCATCTTTCTCAAGTTGCCAACAGTTGATAATTTATCTTGACATAGGATCCGTAAGAATAACTGCACTTTAAGAGGCACATGCAAGTTCTTAATCTTGAATAAACCAACATCTAATTCTCTCCAATGATTAGAAATAATAGGTTGTAGGTTGACTTAACCGAAAAGTCTCCCAAAGGGGTAAGATCCCAAATAAAGCTATCATCCATATTTGGAGTCAAATATGTGTCATTCAATAATTCCAACAATGTCTTATATTCTTTAATAAATATGTTTGTACCTCTTATTCACTTACAATGAATGGACCAAATAATATTAGTATAAACACCCCCACTAGCCTCCTTGATAGATATTAGCGGGTTTAAAGCTTTTGAAAAAACCTTGGGAAAAAGGCATCTCAACGATTCATCTCCAATCCATTTGTCAAACCAAAAGAGAGTAGATTCTCCATTCCTCACTATTTTTCAAAATTGTCGTAGATACACAAATCTCTCTTAGTTAATACCTCTCCAAACATGGGATAAACTTGTCTTGTTTCTTGGACTTTTAATGTGGTCAAAGTTCAAATCCATTATATAATTTTCTCTCAGAATAAGCATCTAGAAATGCTTAGGTTGTGTATGGATCCTCCACCACAATTTTACTAAAAGTGTCGAGTTCACATGTTTCAGTCTCTTAAGACCAATCCCCCCTTTTTCAATGGTTACAAACTTTTTTCCAACTCACCAGATGAAATCTCCTCCTTCTTATGTCATCACCCCACAAAAAATTTCTTACATATCTCTCCAATTGTTTTTCAACTTCTTTTGACATCTTAAATAAAGACATAAAATATATTGGGAGGTTAGACAAAATGGATTTAATCGACATATATCTTCCCGGCATAGAAAGAGATTAGACAGAACATGGACATAGTTTCAGGAAGAGAGAAAGGTAGTTCAGAGGATGATTCCCCTTTTCGTACACTCAATAGGTTAGTTCGGTACTAGCAGATCAGAAAGATAGGTCATGTCAATTGCGGCTTCCAATACCGTGGCAAAATTGGTTTGGAGATCAGAGAGATGAAGTACGCTTTAGAGAAAAAAATCCCTCTTGTGCATGGACATTCAATTGGACAAAATGTTCATCTCCTATATCCATCTTGGTAATGACTGGTAACGGCTTTTTTTTTTTTTGGGTAAGTTAGTAGGGGAGAAGGGCCCTACCTGTTTTTCATTAAATAAAAATAGAAAAAATACAAATCATAGTGTTACAACCGTACAATGGGGCAATTATGCCCTTTTTCATTAAATAAAAAAAGAGAAAATACAAATCATACTGTTACAACTCTACAATGGATCAATTGTGCCAAATCATGAAGTAAGAAAAAAGAAGAATGCCAAATTATAGCATGAGATAAAGATATCCCATTCTTGACAAGTATATCTACTACCATGTTGATTTCACGAAAGATGTAGGAAATGGTCCACCTCTAGTCTGCGAGTCTATGTCAGCAGTTGGCAGCTACTGAGTGGAGGGCCCATGGAGTTCTGCAGCGCCTTGAATAGCATGTGCAAGCAATGACGAATCATTTTCACGATTGGTGATTGCTTTCGCTTGCATAGTGTTGTATACTCATGACATGCATTATGCATATGTTACACTTCACCTTGCTCTTTTAGTATGTTAGACGAGCGACAAACTTCTGGGTCAGAAGGATGGCCAGCCTCTGCATAACGTAAAGCAGAAACCAAGGTTATATGAAACATAATAAAAGAAAAGGTTGTGTGAAACACTAAAGTACCTACATAATCAATTGAAAATTTCTACATGATTTGAAAAGACATTTTAGTTGAGTGGCAAAGATCAAAGGCTGTTATGCACATTATGTAATGAAAAAAAAATCGGCTGCCCAGCTGCCTAGCCGACAAACCACCTACGCATGCCTAAGGGGGTGCTTAGGCGGGTCAAGGTGGGCACCTAGGCGGTCTGGCCGCCCACCTAGTGCCATCTCTTAAAATAATATAAAAAAAAAAATTCAAATCCACCCAAACAAAAATAGGGCTTTGTATTGCCCTTCTCTTTCTCTATCTCTCTCTCTTTCGGGTCCAGGTGCTCTCTCTAGATATGAGAAGAAGAAGAAGAAGATGGACTCCATGAGTTCGATGTGCAGCCTCTCTCTCTCACATATACACACACAAAGATACACATAGACCAATATACTCCTTTACATGTAAGAAGAAAAATAGATAAAAAACAAATGACCTCCAAGTGTTCGATGTGACATCCCTCTCTCTCACAAGCCCCCCCCCTCTCTTGGGGACGCCTTTGTGTCTGGGCGCCCGCTTAGGTGGCCCAAACCTTGGCTGCCTAGGCGCCCGCCTCCACCTTTTGGAACATTGTGCGTATGCTTTAATTTCATTTTCCTGTTCAGTAAGCTAACTTAAATAGAGGGGTTGGATGTTGGAAGCCATTGACAAAGGCCAAAGGACATTATTGGCCAATAAAGCAGCAAATATATTTCTGTGCATCATGTCCCAAGTCTATGAACAATGCTTGCTCAAATTAGTTAAGAACAAAGAATGACCACAATGGCTCCTAGAAAAGTCAATATGGCACATCTATCACCAATCTTTTTCCTGAATCCACAAAAGATCCCTTTCTGAAAATCTTTCAATCCCAAAAAAGAAGATCTTTTAAAAATTACGAGTGACATTCTACTATGCTGCCATCTACTTGAACATGGTTGCAATAAGCTTCCTGCTCACTGTTGAACTTAACAACTACATGGACAACTACTACTACCACTATCACTACAACTAATGATATAAAGCTGACTGTTATATGATAACATACTATTAATTTGTGGTCTTTATTAAATATTTTGAGTAGAAGAAATCACGCAGATTACAACTACATGGTAACTGCAAAATAATACTATCAAATTAACACACTTATACTCCAAAAAACCTCAAAAGATATTTTCATAGTTGTCGGGTGTGGATGCGTTCCCGGGAGCGGGAGCTGGCCCAGGTCCGCAGAACCATGGATTACTGGAAGTTCCTTGTGGTTAGGATCGCCGTCCGTATGATCCTATATTAAGAGAGCACGATCCTTGTCACAGGGGAGCACAATTCCATGAGGAAGGAATCGCAATAGTAAGTTTTAGGGGATTGCGAGTGATGCAGGGGTTCATAGTACCATTGGGTACAAAACTGAATCAGTGCGTATGACTTAGTGCCAAATAGAAAAAACATCATCTGCACTGCAGCACACACTAGAGAACTGCAGTTCAAACCCACTGGGAATGAGGATCACAATAGAGGGATCCGCATTCCATCAAAGATCCGTAGCTGGAATCATGGGATCGAAGTTCTGGAGCAGGGTCCGTGACCTTTCCTACAGGGTTCCAGCAACTATGGATATTTGGCAGGGTACGCCTGTAGAAGTTGACACCATCCATCTCATCTCACCACGCATGACAAGTCAGGTCCCTTATTCAATGCAGAGTCCTTTCTACAAGATATTTTGCAAAGGTATGCCTGCCGCCAACACTTGATCATCATGGATCTCATCTCATATTGTTTAACTTAGCATGGTAAATCAGGTCCATTAGCTAATGCAGAGTCCTATCTATCTCCTAACGTGTAGGTTGAAAGGAAACTAGTGGGTAACATACCATAGGTCGTTTTTCAAGTCATGCATAACATATGCTTCCCAATTAATAACACATTTTCATAAGGACATATATTTCAAGCCATAATTAACATCCTCACTGCAACTATTTGAAACTGGGCCCCACTACATAACTTAGACTTCAGATTTTGGAACACTTCCAATTGGCTGACAGTGATAACCAACATTTCAATAATGCTCTCATGTCTGCCTTCTAGTTCCAATTAAAAACCATCTGGAGAAGAGGAGCACAAAGTTCACAAAATTTCTATTGGAATTTGGTTGAGTTTCAAGCAGAAATACTAGTTCATGTGGTGATTACTCTGGGATCACTGATGTGTAATTGTGTCAAAAAGACATTTCAGTAATTTGGTCCAATCGCCAAAATTTTGGTAGGAACCTGAGGTCTCTGAAAGACATATAGTCTTGGTGTCAAGAAGCAATAAGTTTAGAAACTATTTTTTTTTTAACTAATTCTCTTTGGCATGGGCAACAACAATTATTATGTATAGCATGCTTTCTGCCAGAAGGGCCTACTCTTGTAGAAAGTCTATAACCACAATCGTATAGGGCATCTACAAGGAAAGTAATAGGAAGTATAAATTTCAGGAATGTTTCTTCTTTTTTTTCTCTTTCCAATTGTCAAGTGTACCTTTTGCAATCCTTCAGGGGCACGCAATTAACCTATTCAGTTCAAAATGGGGAATTGTGGGATACTAGCATCGCTGAGATGACTAGCTTTTTGGGTTTGCTATCGACTTGTGATAGCTCTTTTGTGGGGAAATGTGGTTCACTAAATTTGTTTAGATGGGCATGCATAGACTCACCTCCTTACGAGGCTAGCAGACATTTTTGTACAGGGAAAAATCACGGCATTAGCAGTAAGACGCAAACATCTTTGAGAAAACAATTCTCAGAGGAGAAAATGCTTAGCCCAACATCTTGGCTAGGAGGGAGTCAACTTGAAACTCAGAATGCAAGGAGATGCAGTTTCTTTCCTCCTACCCCCAGCATGTGTTACAGTCTAGTCTCATTCCTATTGGAATCACTTGATATACCTGTTTTCCTATTGGAACCACTTGACGTAGTGCATAAACTTTGTTATGCACTACTACTGCTACTACCACTACCATAACCATTACCAAGGCCAATACGACTATACTACTAATATCACAACCACCATCACCACAGCTACTGTCACTAGCACTACTGCAACTGTCACTGCTGTACCACCACTACTACTGCAATAAAACAACAAGGCCAACACCAACACCGCCACCACCACCACGAACACGAACACCAGCACCAATAACACCAACAACATCAAGACTGCCAATAACAACCACACCACCAGCACCACCACCAACACCACCACAACAACAACAACAGTGGTAGTAGTACTAGAAGTAGCAGTAGCAGTAACAGTGTGTTCCGCCTAGCAGACAAACTCGGTGCTCCACGCGGCAAAAATGATTTCTGCTAAAGACTTTTTTTTAAATAATAGAGAATAAGAGAATCAATGTAATATAGATAAGAAAGATTTTCAAGAAAACATGTTTCTTAAAATTTGATGCAGGTGCTAGAACTTCTAACACTTGCATCAAAATTGCACAAAAAAACAAAATTATAGCCAAAATGTGCACAAGATCTAGAATTGTAAGGACAAAGATTCTAGTTGAGCCTAACATTCTTGTACATATGGATCAATGCTTACCTCCACGAGCATATCATCCTTAAAACTCAGGAGAATCCTCCGCATTGTCTAGGGTCCGAGATCCATATGCATCTAACATGAAAATGGGGAGTGAGGCTCTTCATACGATCCCTCTCACTTAAAAGCAACTTAAAAATGGCAAAAAAATTACATATTAGTTTGCCTTTGTTCAATGAAAAAAGAGAAGAGCCAGCAACACATACAAGATATTACAATAATCATTTAGAGGAGAGCTCGCACCTTATGTTTCGTCTCTAGTGACCATTGTTGGCAAGAAATATACACGACAGATATGTACAGAGCTGGTGAACATAAACCAATCAAGATAAACTGCCGAATACTTAATAAAGAAAAAGGAAAGAGAATTGAAGCATTTATGAGAATTAAAAACACATGGCTCATGTGCACCTGAGCTATTGTAAAGGAAATAGAAGGTTGGGTTCCTGTGAAGCTCTCCTTCACTTATCCGAGTCTATGAATAGCTGAAACAAAAGTCAAATATGAGATTACAAGAAAAGAGGCATTGCTTTTATACCAATTAAAAAAGGAAAAAGAAAAAAGTAGTACTGCTTTAGATCATGAATGGATTTAGTTATGTCTTACGTTGAAGAATCATCCTTGGAAATAACAGATGTTCACCAACAATCATATCTCAAAAAATTTCCTATCTGCATGAATGAGATTCCCAAAGTATTTTCTACTTATTTCCTCAGTTATGTTTCTTTATAGCCTATTTTACTTTTCTTACGTCAAAATCAGAAATAACTATGTCCGGTCCAAAAGCAACTGATGATCAAGTTCTCGTATCAAGTGATAAAACAGGGATTCAGACGTTGGGACATCTGTTCCACTTGCTCCTTTTCCAAACCACAAGAAAATAAGCCTAAAAGTGGGTTACTCTTCCTCCATATGATGTTCAAATGTCAAATCAATTGATCATACCTACAGCATTGAACACATTGCCATTAATATACGAAATTCCTTCCTCCAGTTGCTCATTTAGTACTTTCAAGATTGCATAGATCTCTTTCACTTGTGGGTGGGATTTATCACTCGAAACAAATGAGTGAATCTTACTACCAATCTCCATCCAGCTGCACCCTGGGACTTTCTTCTCACACCTCTCTCTAAGCATCTTTCGAACCTTAGCTACATCACTCCAACTCTCAAGACTAGCATATATATTGGATAACAAAGCATAATTCGACGGTTCACTTGGTTCTATTTCAAAAAGCTTTTCTGCTGCAAATCTCGCTAACTCCAAGTTGCCATGGATCCTACAAGCACCGAGAAATGCCCCCCATACATTAGCACCTGGATCAAAGGGCACATTCATTAAAACATTGAAAGCCTCTTTTAGAAGCCCTGCACGACCAAGGAGATCGATGAAACAAGAATAGTGTTCTGAATCCGGTGTTATCTGATAAACATTTTCCATTGAAGAAAAGTAGCGTAGGCCCTGACTGATCAGGCCTCCATGGCTACAAGCAGCAAGAACCCCAACAAAGGCGATACGATCTGGCCAAACACCCTCTTCAATCATCTTGTCGAAGAGCATAATGGCCTCTCTTCCAATACCATGAAAAGCGTAAGCATTTATCATTGAAGTCCATGTAACAAGATCATGTTTTCGAATCAATTTGAACACTAGATAAGCACTCTCAATATAGCCACATTTGGAGTATGCATTGATCAAGGCATTGGAGACTGGTAGGAATGATTCAAACCCATTTTTTATGATATGTGTATGTACCAAAACTGTCTGTTTTGAGGTAGCAACATTCGCACATGAGCTAAGAATGCTAGCCAAAGTGAGTTCATCTGGTCTGAAACCATCTCGAATCATTCTACTGAGAAGCTTCAAGGCCGCCACACCTTCACCATTGTGGCCATAACCCACAATTAAAGTAGTCCAAGATACCACACTACGGACAACCATCCCATCAAAAGCCTTTCTTGCATCCCCTAAATTCTCATTCTTTGCATACATATCAACAAGTGTACTTGATACTAAAAAATCCAAATCAATTGATAGCTTAATAATACACCCATGGATTTGTTTCCCCATTTCTTGAGATCTTAGCCCACTACATGCATTCAATAAACTACTAAAGGTAAAACTATCACCCGACAACCCTTCAGTTCGCATCAATTTAAATACTCCAAATGCTTCCTTTCCGAAAGAATTATGAGCATAACCATAAATCATGACATTCCATAACACCAAATCCTTGAGTTCTACTTTGTCAAATATGAGTCTAGCACATTTCATGTCGCTACATTTTGCATAGAGATCAGTAAGAGCAGTACTAACAACAAGGTCTATATCAAATCCCGATTTTATCGTAATCGAGTGAAGTTGCTTACCAAATTCAACCTCTGACAAAGAGAGACAAGAACCGAGAACACTGATCATGGTTATGCAGTTTGGACCCACTCTTTCTAACAACATTTCACGAAATAAAAACATGGCCCAAAACTCACTTTCTAGTGCATAATTTAATGAACCACTAGATTTACTTCTTCGAAGTTTAAGTTCTATAAGCCCACTGTGCTTTGAAAAACCTGAAATAACAGTATTCCAAGAAACCAGATTTCTCTTAGGCATTTCATCAAAAACTTGGTGTGCATCACTCAAGCAACCGCATTTTATATACATGTTGAGTAGCTGGTTTTGGAGAGAGATTTGAGGTTGGGTTATTAGTTTCATCATGCAACAATGGAACTGTTTACCTTCTCGTAAAAAACCCATTTTGGAGCAAAATTGCAATGAATTTGAGAAGAATAAGGAACTTGAAGGAGATTCATGGAGGTTGGAGGTCTCTGACGCTGCCATGGAATCTTTGAGGCGTCCATCTCTGAAGACTTGATGAAAGATTGGGTGTTTCTCAGATGGGTGGCTTATGTTTTCTTTGCTCTTTGCAGTATGAAGCAAGAGAGTTGCAGCGCCCAAATAATTTAATGGGGAAACGGATAGACAGAAGGTACTCTTGGGGGAGATCAGGAACATGAATCAAAGCGGGGGAAGAGAGAGACCTTCGGAAAAAAGGAGGAAGGGAGCTTCAGAAGAGTAGAGAGATCCCTTGCTAAACGTCTGTATGGTGTACACTGTATACTGCTCTCGCAGTTTGGGTTTCGTTCATTTTGCTAGCATATCTCTGCCGTCCAATATCAACAACAGAGGGTTGTGGCATGTTAGTTCGCAAATCACAAAAAAAATTTGAACTCTAAAGATGGTTCGAATCAAGTGGATCTATAAGCTCATGCAAATCTTGAAAATGGATGGCAGAGATAATGTGTCGCAAGAAATACTATTTTTGAGATTCAAAATTATTATTTTTTTATTTTTCATATTTATACATAACGGTTTTGAGATAATCAATTATAAGGTTTTCTAACGTCAAAAGAACATTTTATGATGGATTTTTTATGTACACTTTAATTCTATATATTAAAGTGGCGACCTTATATAAAATTTTGGAAAAAAAATGTAAATATAAATTATGTAAATATCTATTATATATTATGTTATTACAAAAATACCTGAAACTTTTTGTTATTACTCATATGTCTAATTTTTCAATTCCATAGCACTTTAAAAAAGAAAAAACAAAATTGCCTATTTTCGGTTTTTAAAATACCAAACTTTATTAATTTTCAGTTTTTCTTAAACCAAAATTTATAAAATTTTGGTTTCTGAAAAACCGAATTTTAGTGCTTATTGATATTTTTTGTTATTATTTGGAAAATCATAAGCTTTTACCAGCCCCGTGTTTAAATATTTGGTATATGTAATATTGATATTTAAAAATTTTGGTTTTTGAAATTCAGTTTTTCAAAAACCAAAAATGGGCAGTTTCTCTTTTTTAAAAAAAATATTATGAAGTTGAAAAAATAGACATCTGTATAATAATGAAAAAATCCAGGTATTTTTGTAATGACGAAAAGTATAACAAATATTTACATAATTTTGCCTAATTTTTTTCCTTTTTAGAAAGATGCCGCACTATAAATAAAGGCATTATATACAATGAGACCATCTACCTTTGGTACATAGGGGTCGCAATTATTTACAATTATGTAATGCGAAATCTAATAGCTTGGGTGTGTAACAAAGTTTGAGAGAGTTTTTTATTTTAACTTTATGCTTGGTTAATGAAACAAATGCAACCACGTGATTTCACATCCAATGGTCAAGATTAATTGTGACCACCTAATACCAAATGTAAATTATCTCATTATAAATAACTGCATATTCCTAGAGCTTGTCCTTTTATAAATTGAAATGTTTATATAGAGCTAAGGCTCTAAACAATCAAATTTGAGCCTACCTCAAAACTTTCACTAGAAGAGGTGGTTTTGATGCCCAAATATCTTTAAATTGATCATCTCGATATCAAGATGCAAGGACATGAGAAAAAAATAGATTTCAAGTTGTGGAAATAATGCATTTTGTAACGCCTTTTTTGACAGTCAATTTTCAAGATTTTTAAGTTTTTATAGATCTATCGATGATCTACACTATTTGTAAACTTTATAAATAAAGATGAAAATATATTTTAAGGCGTTCACAAAGATTTTCAATAGTAAAACTATATTTACTGACATTATTTAAAGGTAGACCTTGATTTGATTGTTTAGAGCCTAAGCTCAACACAAACTGCACCTTTTTATAAAACCTTTGTATCTCTCTCCACATCCGTAATTTCAAAGACTCGCATGGTATGTCAATTGAATTTTATAGTTGCATAAAACAATGCCAAGCATGTTAATTTTGATATTTATGAAGCTACAATTAATACGTGACATTGTTATCAGCTGATATCTAGCCTTTTGCTCGCACCAAAGAGTTAACAAACCAGTCGATTAAATTATGGGAAAAGTTTATATAGAGCCGAGGCTCTAAACAATCAAATTGAAGCCTATCATAAAAATATCACTAGAAGAGGTTGTTTTTATGCTAAAATATCCTCAAATTGATCATCTCGACATCAAGATGTATGAACATGAGAAAAAAATAAATTTCAAGTTTTAAAAATAATGTATTTTGTAACACATTTTTGGATTATCAATTTTTAAGATTTTCAAATTTTCATAGATATGTCTATCTATATTATTTTTAAAGTTTTAAAATTTTATAAATAAATATGAAAATATATTTTAAAGCTATCATAAAGATTTTCAATAGCGAAACCACACATTTCATACCATTCGAAGATAGGCTCTAATTTGATTGTTAAGGGCCAAGGCGCTATACAAACCGCACCCTTAAATTATATGAATGCAGTAACCAACAAAATGCTCGTTTTTTTCGAATTTAGATATATAACACACGCCTAATTATATGTCCCTCAAATGTTTTTCATTTCACCACCCATGGTGATAGGGATTGCAGTGGTTCGGGCCTAGCCTAGGCAGCAGTCCAATTCCCCACTAGTTTTAGCCTTATTAAGGCCGTGGGCCAGATCGGACCATATAGAATCAAAGAAAATAAGAAAAACAATAAAGGAAAAAAAGGGTCGGACCAGCCCGCGCTGGTCAATGCCCATGAGCTCGACCCTACCCTCAACCCGTGATGACACAGCCCTACCCGAAATGCTTGACCCTAGTTTTTTAGCTTTAGAATAACCGGGCGGGCCGATTGCGCAGCCCACCCCCTCGCCGACCCATCGGCTCCCACCATATGGAACGTGTCCCCCAAAAGTATTAATGTCATATCGCGTCTTGCCTCAAAAGGCATAATAGACAAAGGCCGGGAAATACGGACTTGAGAGCCAAGAAACTGCAACAATGGTGGCCGTGTTACTTACTAGTTACTACGGTTCCCAACACTTCATCACATCTCTGGTATTTCCGATATCAGTTTTCACTTTTTACTTTGTTTATTTGAGGGTTTCTTTTCTTTTGATTCTCTCGAATTCGACCTATTTTTCTTGAGAAGATGGCTCCCTGATCGTTGTTTGATTTTGAATTTTTAGGCTTTTCTAATCAATACTTTTCGCGCATCATGATTTAATTCCGTGCCTTTCATGGTTATTGAAAACCGTGTTGAAATTTTCTGGTATGGATTCAGATTTATCGACCCGATTTTGATTGGATCCTCAGTTTTCCACTTCAAAACTAAAAAAGAAAAAGGAAAAAAGTTGGATTGCCAATTTCGGGTTCACTTAATTTGTAGGTTTCACAGAAAATTTGACGTAAGAACACCTTTGAAAGGAAACTGAGAGATTTGTGCTGCTATAATGGATATACTGGATTTATTTATTATATTTTGATGATTACAGTTAATGCAGCCGACCCCAACTAGTTGGAAAAGGCTTTGGTGATGATGATGATGATTAGATACCATGGATGCATGTTTCTGATGTCTTTCCTGTGTAACTTTACATGCTATTTTCACACGTGGCACGTATGGCTTATGTATGGATGTATGATGATCGGGAACGTCATGGGTTATGTATGCATGTAATGATGCCAATAATCGGGAACTCTTGACGTGTATGTTTTTTTTTTTTGGTATTTCCTCTTCCTGTTTGATAACCTTGCTGGATTGTTAAGGAAGTGTGATTTAAATATTATTTAAATGTTATATTTATATATTATTTAAATATATATTTTATATTAAATATAAAATAGTATATAATATATGTTGTATTATAAATAACTATTACATAAATAAAATATATTATATAAGAAAATATATTATGTAATATATTATTTAATAAAATATATTATATTATATTATATATATATATATACATATATATATATATATATATACAATGTATATACATCTATATAATAAAATACATTTTATAATATATAATAAAATGTATTATATTTAATAAATATATTATATTTACATAAATATATATTAATAATTTAAATATAAATATATATGTTAATAATGTAAATATAAATATAAAATGTATATATAACATAATATAATATATAATATAGTGTTTTTGATGTTTATGTTTATTAATGTATATTTGTATTATATATAGTATATAATATAAGGGTGCGGTTTGTATAGGGCTGATGCTCTAAACAATCAAAGAAAACGACACCTTGAAATAATGTTGAGAAATGTGGTTTCAATAATGGAAATCTTTGTGATAGCTTTAAAATACATTTTCATCTTTAATTATAAAATTTAAAGCTTCAAAGTGTAGATCGAGCAGATCTATGAAAACTTGAAAATCTTGACAATTGACGGTCCAAAATGCGTTACAAGATGCACTATTTCCAAAACTTGAAATCCATTTTTTTTCATGTCCATGCATCTTGATGTCGAGATGATCAATTTGAAGATATTTGGGCATCAAAACAACCTTTTCTAGTGAAATTTTTGAGGTGGGCTCTAATTTAATTGTTCAAAGCCTCGATTTTTATATAAACTTTTTCCAAAATATAATATATGATATTTGTCTATTGGATATAATATTAAAAAAATATTATATATATGTCATATATAATATATAATATATAATATGGGGTGCGGTTTGTATAGAGCCTAGGCTCTAAACAATCAAATTAGCGCCTACCTTCAAATAGTGTCGAGGAATGTGGTTTCAATACCGGAAATCTTTGTGATAGCCTTAAAATATATTTTCATCTTTATTTATAAAGTTTAAAGCTTCAAAAATAGTGCAGATCAACAGATCTATGAAAACTTGTTTGAAATCTTGAAAATTGATGGTCCAAAATGTGTTACAAAATACACTATTTCCGAAACTTGAATCTTTTTTTTTCTCATGTTCATGCATCTTGATGTCGTGATGATCAATTTGAGGATATTGGGCATCAAAACAACATCTTCTAGTGAAATTTTTGATGTAGGCTCTAATTTGATTGCTTAGAGCCTTGGCTCTATGTAAACTTTTCCCTGATATAAATATGTATAAATATTATATAAATAATATTATATAAATATAAAAAATATATGTAAATATAATATAATATAATATAATGCAAATATAAAATAACAATGTAAATATAAATATAAATACAAGGAGGGAGGCAGAATAGGGTTTGAGGAAGAAGCCCTCTTCGAGGGCCAAGTTCCTATTTTAAGTTCCATGGTTTTAGACAAAACTTTTTTTCTTAAGCACAAGGGATTAAGGAAGTTTTGGGGGAGATTCTTTACTGTTTAAGTTCCGTGCATCAAACACGGGAGTTGTACAGTAATGGGCAAGTTCCTTCTACCTCCCCCTAATTTCCTGTTATCAAACATACCCGTACATTAATGGGGAAGTTCCTTCTTCCTCTCCCTAACTTCTTATTATCAAACACGCTCTTAGTTTGTCTTTTGGGAGCTTCTTTCTTTGAATATATGTAATTTTTCCTAAGGAATTTTGTTTAATGTGGACTTTATGCAAATTTCTTAGGATTTACTCCTCGAATAGTCAAAGCAGTACATGTTGGTACTATTAAGGTTTCCTAATTTAGAAAATTGGGACATTTACAAGTTTTTATAGGTTGATTATGTTGTATTTTGCGTTGGAAAATCCGATATGCTATTTCAAAATAATAACCCTCTTGTTCCATAGTGTTTTGGAAAGTACAATGTATTGGAAATTTTGTTTTGTTTCTCTCACATTGAAGATGTAAATGAGGGAAAGCTTGCTTAAATAAGAGGATACCCTTTTCATTTGTGTTCTAAGAATCAAAGGGAGAAAATGCCTATGCAGAGTACGCATAAAGGGCGATTGTGTTTGTGCGTGTGAGAGGGCAAGGGCGTTTATGGCGCACTTTGCACTTCATACGCCTGCATCGACGCGTAAGGCTGCTTATGCTAGAGCACGTGTGCGGGTCAGGCTCGTGGCTCGTCTCTCTTTTTGCCGCAACAGACATAACCACCAGTAAACTATAGGGAAACATTTTGGTAATGTGCCCCTTGGATAGCTCCGGTGGAATGGTGCATTCCGGTGAAAGGTGCATTCCGGTGAAAGGTGCCCCATTGGATGGTTCTAGTATATTGGTGCATCCTGGAGAATCGTGCCTCTCCGGTGAAGATGTGCTGCTCCAGTGGATTGGTGCCTCCGGTACCTGTGCTCTACCGTTGAAGTTGCGAGAAAGTTTGGTGTAACGTTTACGTGAAAGTTGCGGCAGTTGCTTTCTCGGAACTCAAAGAGTTACCGCGTGACTATTGGATGCAAGTTGTGCATGTCACTGATGGTTGAGATTTCAAGAGATGCAGTTGTTGACTTTGAAAAGTCATGTGTAGAAGTTTAAAAGACACTTTATCTCTCTATAAATAGGGACTTTTTCCTCCTGTTTACATAGAGATGCAATACGAATTTCGTAAAGTGTTTTGTGAGAACTTTATCTCTTGAGATAAAAGGAAATTCTGGTGCTCTAAATCTCGTAGTACTTGTGCATTTGTATTGGTGAGATAGTTTCTCAATTATTTGCTTCTATGTATCCCGAGGAAAAATTTGCTTGAATAGAAACTTCAATGCACATTGATTCTTATCATTAAGGGGCAAATTTTATTTTGAGAAAATCGCACCTAGGATAAGAGAGATTCATACTAGTTTTGTTTCTCTCATCTTTATTTTGCCCTGTTTCACCCTCCCATTTCCAACAGATTATGTGTCTTAGCTTTCTACTGCTCCGTGTTGGTGAACACTGAATACTATATATGGTTAGACTTACCGTGGAAAGCTTTATAGTTTAGCAATTGAACTTTTGTACGTGCTACATGGAAGGGTGGAACCAATGCGATTCTTTACTAATGCTTTTAGTCTTTTCACATGGGTATGTTGGCTTTCAAACTTGATATGCACTAATCATCAATTGAAGAGGCGAATCCCCTGGTTTGTTAGGGGTGTCATCCGGCGAGTAGTGCTACAATTATCTTTAATAACTAATTAGTGATATTTTTGATGATTGTAACATATAAGATAGTTAGAAGCAATCAGATTGGACCCTTTGCTGATGTTCCATTTTGCCATATGCAAGACTAAAGCATTTTGAACTTGAGCAAACAGTGTGAAAATGTTGATTTATGTGATTTTAGATGCGTAGAAGAAGCTAGGTTAAATATTAACTTAACAGGACACTTGGGAATAGGCAAAGTTATGGAAATTATTCACTTTACATGTATACTATGAGGCTGTATATTTTATTTATTTATATCTTTAACCTATACTTTATGGTTTATGATTGCAGATTTTAACTTATGAAGAACATGTCTGTCCCACAAAATATGTAGATATTTGTCCAGAAATAGTAATTTATTAGATGTGTTTATAGCTGTGGCTGCAAATATTAATTGGTGAACTGAAATTTGTTTCAAGTTGGAAAACATCGCCCGAGTTGACTTGACTTGTCAACTAGGTCAGTTTTATTAATGAGAAAATGGGATGTGTCTCATTTTTCAGTATATATATTTCTCTGCTGATTTGACTAATAAATGGTTTCTTCTTATGCAAGTGTTGTGGTATCTTAGGTGAAGACCTTCACACTATAGGTGCTTTGCTTTTTTAAAATTTTAACCCCAGAAAAACTTGAAATAATATGCAATTTATTCTGAATAATTATTTAACTCACCAAGTGGACTCTATTTTGGCAATAACCTCATTGGCTGCTGAGTTTGAGCTTCCCAACACTACTATTAACTATATGTAATATTACAATACACCCCTTGCATCATTCTTTGCATTGTTGAAGTTCCTTTGAAAGGCATTTGTTTTGAATACTTTGAGACCTCATTGGTTGCTGAGTTTGAGCTTCCCAACACTATTATTAACTATATGTAGTGTTACAGTACACCCCTTGCATCATTCTTTGCATTGTTGAAGATCCTTTGAAAGGCATTTGTTTTGAATATTATGAGCTCTTGTCCTTTAAAGAAATACTATATAAATATATACATTTTTGTGCATGCATATGCATGTGTGCTTGGAGTGCATAATTGAAGGTTTGGGGTTCTGGTGACATGGGTAGGGTTCATACCTGAGTACCTGGCCTGTTGGGCCAGACAAGCTCAGCATGTAGGATCATAGTCAGATTGGCCCAGCCTGGCGAGGTCAGGCCCAGCTCAGCCTATAATGTTGAATGACCAAAGACCCCTTCAAAAAGTTTATTGTTTTAAAAGGGAAGTTTGGTAATTTGCTATTTGCAGAAGTTAAGGGGAGGGGGGTCAAACTTAAGATTTATCTAGTTCCCAGCGACCCATAGTCAAGACCAAAAATAATGAGGTAGCCTTGACTTGTATTTTTTTAGTATTACATTACATAAACCAGTGTCTTAGAACAGATGGAATGAGGCAAAGTGCGGGTCGGAGTCGTCTCACCTATTCTTGAGTCTGCTCAGACTAGACTTGGACTATAATCATTGGTTTTTCTAAAGACTTAGGCAGGCTCGATCAAGACTTGAACAGACTTTTGTCAAACTTGGTCAAAGCTCTGGTTATCATAGACAGGGTCATTCAAAACCAGCAGGATGCCAATAGGGTGAGGGTTTTGAGCATCTGGGGCATGTCCAGGTCAGGCTCACCAAGTTTTTACCATTGATCTAGACAACTAATGCAATGTTTTCTAAGTATATGGACTGGTTCCTGGCGATAAGAATAGTTCAGGCTGGGTTTAGGTCCTACCAGCCAGGTCGAACTAGGAATTTGTCAGCATTGGGATGGTGCTATTACTAAATTGGCCGCGCTGAGACAGGGGTCAACCCTACCCGAACCCGGCTCTATATGTGTGTGGGGCGTGTTTGGTGTGCCATATACATCATCCGTTCGATGTGATTTTGTCTTGTAATGATTATATGCTTCTTCGCTGAAATTTCATTCCATTTTATGTACAATGACTTTTGTAAGATGTGATGCCATTGGAACCATAAAGGACATGCTTGCGTTGTATTAGCAGAATAGATGAATTGCATAAAGCTTTGCTGGTAACTTTTGACTGTAATGCAGCTTATTAAAGGACATTTTTTGCTATGTCAATATGTTCCCATGGTGGTACCATCATTCTGAAAAAAGAGTATTGCTTTTTTGTTTTTAGTGTCAATGATAAATAGGTGAGATTTATGATAACTTTATGACATTTTTCTATTCATAGTAACCTGATGATATAATATGTTCATTATATATTCCCCATGGGATTTATCTCATATTTTTTTCTAAGCTTTGAGTAAAGATCCATCAGATCTCATTCTATATTCCCATTTGTTGGAAGAATGATGTCAATCGTTTTATTTGTCTTCTACAGCGTTTAGTAGAGCAGCAAGATGCAAATGTGGTGATTTTTATCAATTGCATGGTGGATTGCTCGACTCAAACTTCTGTATGTTGTTATGTGATTTCGTTTGTGGTGCATGCAGACTTTCCCTTTTTTTTCAATTTCATTTCATACATTTTTATACATGCTATAGATACTTAAGTAGCTGAGATTTTCATGTCAAGAGATTTGAGTTTATTTGGAATTTTGAGACACCCATGCTGGCATGGAAAGTTAATTGGATTCTACAAGAATAGGTGTGGAATCAGTATTGTTGTTTCTTAAACATGTAAGCAGAGTCTTAAATATGTGAGTAGATGATGCTCTAGTAGGTGAGTGGCAAGTTAATATTGGATGGTAAGCAAGAAACACTGATGGAAATGCTGCCTAATCCAAAATGCATATTGTAATCTAAATTGCAATAGAATTATATGCAGGTTTCTGCTTTTTGATAACTCACTTTTGTTGTTGAAAGTAGTGTGCGTATGTGTACAAACACACGGATAAAGTTTAAATTCAACTAGGTGCTCTTTTCCTTCAACATTTGTCTACCCACCGCCTCTTCACCATCTGATCAAAATGTGGATTGTGAGGATCTTATATTGTTGCATATTATGTTTTCCCTAACAAATTGGATTGTGCTTGAATTTTGTGTTTGCATACTTCTCCTTTGAGCGCACCTGTAAAAACTGTAAAAAAAATATTTCTTAAAAATAAAATGACCACAATACCCCTAAAATATTCCTTTATATTTTTTTACTGGTGCCCCAAGTGAGAAGTATGCATACCGAATATTTCATTCCAATCCAATTCGTAGGAAAAAAGATAAAATTAACGTAGTCATCACGCTCTTACTTGGGTTGTGAGGAAGGGCAGAGCGAATGCTATAGATTGGTGCTCTGGGGTGTTTTGAAGGTTATTTCTCTTTCTCTGCATGTGTGCGTGTGTGTGTGTGTATCTTAATTACCAATATCTTTTAACCATGGGGTCTATTATGCTTTGAAATCTCGCGCCTATGCTCCAAGGAATGAATCTCACTTCTCTGGGTTTTCTGAACTCTGGAATCTCAATCTTTCCAATTTGGGATCAAGATTCTGAGTTATAGGGGATCCATAGCGTAGTATGGTCTAGCATTGTAGTACAATATAGTATTTAATATGGTGTAGTATATATATAGTAAATTTAAATATAGTAGCATATTATATGGTATAGTAGAATCAAATGGATTATCGGATTGCATTATGGTATAGTATTAGTATTTACTACACTACTTCACTAGTTAATTGCTCTCGAAATTCTTGACTTTAACCATAAGAAGGTTTGTTACACACACACACACGCACGCACTCGCGGACGCGGGCATGTGCACTCGCACACGCACGCACATGCACACACACATGCACGCACACACGCACACACACACACACACACACGAGAGAGAGAGAGAGAGAGAGAGAGAGAGAGAGAGAGAGAGAGAGGAGGAGGTAGGTAGTAGTACTAGTAGTAGTACGTCGTAGTTGTAGTGTAGTAGTAGTAGTGTAGTGTAGGTAGTAAGTATAGTTATTTATTTATTTATTTACTTA